GGGAGGAGGCCCCGGGGAAGACCCAGGACACGCTGGAGGGACTATGTCTCTCGGCTGGGCCGGGAACACCTCTGCATTCCCCCGGAGGAGCTGGAGGAAGTGTCTGGAGAGAGGGAAGTCTGGGCATCTTTGCTTAGACTGCTGCCCCCGCGACCCGGTCCCGGATAAGCGGAGGAAAATGGATGGATGGCTGGATATTCAGTCTTTTTAATTCTTGTAGAGTTTGTTGTACCCGTATGTACTGAAACTCCTCCACCGGTGAGTCTGCCCCTGTGGCCACTGCGCTGCAGCCCTCGAAACGTGGTTGTTTCCTGGTTATGAGGAGGAGTTTGTTCCTGATGGCTGCGACTATTCTCAGCTCTAAGCCGTGATGAGTGTTGATAGAGTACAAATGACAGCCTGGGACAAAGAGCAGGGCGTGGGGGGCAGAGATAGAGGCACAGAAAGTACAGTGGCTATACTGTGCTGTAGGTGTTATTCCCCTGCATCATCCCACAAATCAATCTATCCAGTAAAGACAGCTGGTATGATACCATCAGTGAGGCAAAGGTTGTGCATTTGCACTGCAAAAAGGATGTTCATTAAGGTCAAAATACTGTATCTTGTTTTAGGTTGATTAAATGTCTCATCAAATTAAAATAACCTTTTCAAGCACCATTTGCATAGGCTACTAAACTTGTTTACAAGGTAACTAGGTATTTGTGTTACTAGAATATTAAGATTCAAACATTTGTTAAGATTAAACTACTTAAGACTTTCTAATTTCAAGAATAAAAAAAAGAATTAATAAGGCAAAAACATCATAAAGATTTTTCATTTTGTTGGATTGACTAAAGGTGCAGTCCTCACCTCAAAAATTATCTCAACAAGCAAGAAGTGTTGTGTTTTTCTATTGTTGCTTGTCTTATATTGTACCTTTGGTTTTCTCCAGTTTATTCTCCCGACTGTCACACTTGCCCCTGACGAGCTGTCTTTCCTCCAGGCCTCTCTTGAGTGTGCTGAGTCTGAACACATAGAGCCGAGCGTCCTTCCCTGGAAACAAAAACAAACAAAAAAGCCGCTTCTGTTTTGCATGAAGGTTACTCTTAATTTGCCATGTCTTTTTTAGCATCCTCCCACGGCCTCACAATAGTGTCATACTGCAGGAGAATTACTAGAAGGCTTCTTAAGGCTTGTGTGCTCTCAGAAGCTTTGTCAAAGCCCACACACAGTCGTGACAAATGCTTGCACTGCCATCACATAATCACGATCAAAACTGAGTCAACCCTGTCAATATTAGGGTTAATTATCTGCAGGGTAATTAATTACATGCTCTTCTGATTGAGGCCAAACATGAGATAAATCCTACAGCTGCCTTTTAGTACACGGTGTCCTCTTTTTTTATTCTACACTGTGTCTTTTTTATGCTTATAGATTTGTATGTTTCATTTTATTTGTCTGTTTGTCTGCATGTTTATCAGTCCCTTAAAGTCCACTCTACCCTCATAGTCTGTCCCATCCCCCCAGGATAAACAGACACACTCTCTCTTACAGACACAACCTCGACAGGAATTGGTTCTCTATAGGTCAACTTCCTTAGATCACAGCAAGACATCAATGTGCTCACTGGACTAATGGAGGGGGAAAGGCTATAGGGGGAGGGGAAAGGGGGAAAGGCTATACTAAATATATCTGAACCACACTGAAACAGAAGAAATAAAAGAGGGGAATGGAAAGAACGATAAAGAAAATGTCCTGTAAATACTGTTCTGCTGATGATATGGAATGAATGGGGGGATGACAAAGGGTGTTACCAGGGGAGACGGTCTCTGATGTGCAGGGAGAAGCTGTCCTCCTGCCTGTAGAATAATCCTACCTTTGTCAGCCCTGATGATAAGCAGGTCCTGAGGCTCGAGAACATGCATCTGCTTCACCGCCATGGTTTTGTCAAACACCTGCACAGGAGGAAGAGCCTGCGACTCTGAAAGACAACACATTGGTCACAATACAAAAGTTAAATCTAAAAAATGTGCCATAATGGAGGTTAAGTAACACACACAGATTGATCACATACGGTACCACCTGTGTCAGTTACTAGACACACCCTTTGCTCTTTTACCAGTTTTAGATTGTGAGTGGCCTATAATCACATGACCTCTACACACCTATGTGCATGTTTTTATTGGCTGCCATACTATTTAGATGCTCTTGAATATGTACTTTTAACAGATCCTGATGAAGGCCACAAGCTGAAATGTGTTGGTCCCACACTGAAGTTGTTCAACATATTCAAAGTGTTGCTAGAGTTCTGAGCTATTCATAATGTAGGCTGAAATATTTATTTTTTTAAAATCCTCTGTGCAAGAAATGGGAGGATTGAATGTGGCACTCACCAGTGTTGGACAAAGCTGGATCAGTGCCTGAAACATGGATAACATCATTCTCATTGTCATGTTAACTGCTGGCCTTGGCATTCTGCTGAGCGTAGTACTGAATGATATGGATGGGTGGAATTATTTTAGAAGACATGGGGAGATAGTGAGAACTCACCATCCAGCAGCATGACCCCTGCTGTGTCAGGGGCAACCAACAGAGACTGACCCCAGGAGTCAGCACACACGATCTCAAAGGGGAAGGTACTGCAGAATGACTGGGACTCCCAAGGCTGCAGTACAGATAAACATGCAGACAAATTGAGTTCTAGAGATATGGATATTTGAATAATTATGAACATGCTTTGGCTATATATAAAACTCTAGCATGATATTAAAAAGTGAGGCATACATTAGTTCTCAGGAGGTTTTGCAAGTGAAGTCAAGCGAGACACAGCTGCAAGAAAAATTAAGCTTCTGAAATTACCTGCATGTATACATTAGTTTTAAAATATGGTCAGATCTTCACTTAAGTTATGATCTTGAATGAACAAAATCTTTTAACTTATAATACACAAATCATTGTATCATAATTAGCATCATTCTAAAATTCACAGTACAGGGTTTGAAGAACTATGTGACCTTCTAGACTAATGACGGCGACAAAAGCCAACTGGAGTCAGGAGTTGAATCTTTTTTTTGTATAAAGAAAATAACATTTTTGGATTCAGTAATACTCTAACTGACCCATTAAGATGAAGATTTTGTGCAGTGAAATGTATCTAAGATGTCTGAGAGACTCACCTCTTTTCTGCACAGACCTGTGGTAACAAGGCTGGTCGGGGCATCTCCTCTGACAATGGTCTTCAGCTTCAGAGCCTAGAGAGGAAATGGATCAGATATGACAAATAACAGACATGTTTTGGCTTGCAGTGCGTCAGATCTTTTACTTAAGCAAAATAGTGCACTACAAATCCTACAATATAATACAAGTCCTACAGTACAGTAAGTAATATTAGAAAAACACGTCACTTTTTAAAGTGAATACTGTGCTAATTATTTAAACAATGACTGGACAAGACCTTTTAAATCCTGGGGATTGCCTAAGATGAACATGTGTGTACTGCATGTGAATCAGTCCTCAGTCCTCCTGAAAGCAGGCATCCAGTTCAGCTGTTCAGGAGTTTGTGTGTGTACTTCAGTGTTTTATTTTGTTACCTGGCCTATTCTGACAAATTCGGCCTGCCGCGCCTCTTCCTTTTTGCGTGCTGATTTCGGAGACTCAGGCAGCACGTCACTGAAGGACCGTCGGTTTAACATGTTCTGGGGAGAAAAAGGAACCTAAACACCAACACCCAAAAATATCACACACACGCACACAAGAGAAAGAAGAAAGGGGTCTTAGAGCCTGACCCTATCAGGAGGTTAGAACAGAAACAGGAAAATAGTGAAAACCAAATCACGTTAGGAGCAACTCTGAAAGGAGAAAAAACCAAGAGAAATAAGAACAAATGTGTGATGTGAGGAGAGAGAGCCAAAGCCCTGCTGAGAAAGTCAGCATGGCAGTAGTATCCTGTCGGTGTGGTGCAGTATGCAGAGGCAGACCAAAGGCTGCAGTGGGTTACAGCAGAACACAGCCGAGCAGCGGCTACAGTCGCTGCCAGTGAATGAAGTGACAAGGAGGAGGTGGAGGAGAAAAATTGCATGGCCAAAACATACATCCATCCAAGGCTGGTAGTAGGCAGTGCAGCTGTACCTTATGCAGGTCAGGCATGAGATCTTGGTAGAGCGAGCGAATCAACATATCAAGGGTCCGCTGACGCTTCTGAGCAAATGTTGGCGTCTCCAGTGTGGCTTTCTCTCCATTGATTACTGAAGGAGATGAAAAACAAAAGCTCAGATTAAGAAAAACACAGATGATGTGGATTTACTGGCTATATTCAGATTCATTTTTCTGTCTTTTCTTACATTTGACTAATAAAAAGTCCCTGAATTCTTGGTGATCAGTAAATACAGGTGGAGAAGGAAGAGGGGGTCCAAACAGTGGAACACTCTCCTCTGAGAAAATCTTCAGCCTGTGACAGACAGTAGAATATCTCTCTTACATTTTAAATGGATGCACAGCACATCACACAGCATGGTAAAGTGAGCTCAACTACTCTTTTTACCTTAATGGCATCAAAAAAAGAGTAGGAGCAAGGAAGGTTTTTATGTGGGGAAGGTCAAAAGCAGTCTGGATGGAACAACATAATACACAGCATTAATTAAAGCCACTTACCTGTAACTGTCATTCTGGCTGTTATACCTAACTAATGCAAAAATATCTGGAAGTGAACGTAAAGGAAACATTGATTATATAGGGGACACAACAGCAATTACCGCTGTGTTACAGGGCTCGTGGTTTCTCTTCATTAGCTAAAGCTTCTCTGAACATGACTCATGTAACTGATAACCACTTAATCTCTCTGACAGTCTTTGTCTGTATGAAGGATACGGGTGAAGTGTGATCGGATCATAGATGGTTTGAAGGACGATGATGCGTCATCCCCTTCCTGGAATACTATAGTAACAATGTCATTTCCAATGTGCCTTTTTCTCTCCACCTGGCAGAGAGGACAGAGTGGACAGAAGAGACACAAAGACAAGAAAACAGCAGAAACTTAACATCAGTACTTGAAGATTCATGTGTGACAGGAATCATCTTTACCTGGCAAGACTGATTTTATGAACATTTACAAGCAAAATAAACTTGACACAAAACTGATACATTATCACCTTATGAAGTAGCAAACAGTTTCGTATTCATACAGTGAGGAAAAGAAGTATTTTGCGATTTTGCAAGTACTCCCACTTAGAAATCATGGAGAGGTCTGAAATTCACATTATAGGTGCATTCCCACTCTGAGAGACAGAATTAAAAAAAAATTTCAGGAAATCACATTGTATGATTTTTAAAGAATTTATTCGTCTTGCACTGCTGAATGTATTTGAACACCTGAGAAAATCAGTGTTAATATTTGGTACAGAAACCTTTGTTTGCAATTACAGAGGTCAAACGTTTCCTGTAGTTCTTGACCAGGTTTGCACACACTGCAACAGGGATTTTGGCCCACTCCTCCACACAGATCACCTCTAGATCTGTCAGGTTTCGGGGCTGTCGCTGAGCAACGCGGAGTTTAAGCTCCCTCCAAAGATGTTCTATTGGATTGAGGTCTGGAGACTGGCTAGGCCACTCCAGAACCTTGTTATGCTTCTTACGGAGCCACTCCTCGGTTATCCTGGCTGTGTGCATCAGGTCGTTGTCATGTTGGAAGACACAGCC